TACTGGACAGCTAGCACTTCTGCCAAACCACGTAAGCGGTATTTAACAACCAATTGTGCATGCAATTCACAGAGAAGTTAATGTAGCATGAAGGAATGTCACACATACAGTGCTGCCTTTTCAAAATGGGATTTCTGACACATTCCGGGGCTGTGAGCTATTCTCACTCCCACAAAGCATCGAAGTACCACCACACACTCAAAAAATACCTACCTTTATTTTGTATTTTTTTGAAAAGCCTACCTCAAGGGTGTCCAAACTACAGCCCATAAGTCATTTGCAGCCCACCACCTGTTCTGTTGCAGCCAGCAAAATAGAGCTTTAAAATAGAACAGCATTTAGAATTATAATCTGAACACTAGGTGTACAACCAAATCTCACAATGAATCACCTCCACTAGTGTCTTCTCTTCGAAAGCTCAATATTGCAGTGACAACCACCTGAGTACTAAAATTAATTTGGAAAACTCTAAAAATCCACTGAAGGGACAAATAAAAAGAATGGCATGCATGTACTGCCATACTGTGCCCATGTTCTCACTCATTAGTGTTTCGATACAAAAACCTAAATAAATGAAAAAGAACAACCCACACTTCATGCGTGCCTGTGCTGCTGTGCACACAGATATACAAGTTTATCGATCACACTTCCCTGGAATATCCTCTCTCACAAGTACTGCTGGTAAGTTTAAGCATGAATTGGTAGGTTTCATTGAAAAATAAAAATGATTCATGTAGACTTCGCAATGCTACTTGAGAGTAAGGACACGCAGGAGAGGGTACTAAAACTGTCTTTTTATTAAAAAAAATATATATATATACTGCAATTCAACAGTTGGAAGTAGGTAAGACTTCTTAATGTTTTTGAAATAAGTCTCTTCTGCTCAGCATATATTTGATAAAGCTGGAACAATTTAAAATAACTGTTTTCCAATTGAATGTTAAAATATATCAAATAAATATATAATATATAACATATACAATTTATATATTTATACAGTGGGTATAGAAATGAAGTGAAATGAAGACGGACACAGTTTTTGTTTTATCCAGCTGTATTTCCTCAGTGCAACTTATAACATCCAAGTGAAAGATATAACACCCACACGTCAGAAAAAAATTTAATAAAATAAAAAAACAGAATCACTGAGATGGAAAAAGGATCACCTCCTTGTGTCATTATTTTGTTGAACCACTTTTGCTTTAATTACAGCCTTTAGTCTGTTGGGAGATGTCTCTACTAACTTTGCACATCTAGACTTTGCAATGATTGCCCACTCTTCTTTGCAGAACTGCTCAAGTTCAGTTACATTTGATGCTGACCGTTTGTGGACTACAGTCTTCAAGTCATTCTACAGATTTTCAGTGGAATTTAAGTCTGGGCTCTGACTAGACCATGCAAGGACATTCACTTTTTTTCTTCTTCAACCAGTGTGCTCAGTTTTGCTGTGTACTTTGGGTCATTGTCATGTTGGAAGGTAAACCTTCTTCCCATTGACAACTTTCTGGCAGAGAGCAGCAGATTTGAGAATTTAATGAGAATTTAATGATATTTTGCCCCATCCATTTTTTCCTTCTATCCTGACAAGTGCTCCAGTCCCTGCAGCAGAGAAACAGCCCCATAACAGGATATCACCTCCTCCGTGCTTAGTAAAGTAGCAGTACAGTAGTAGGAATGCTGTTATTTGGATCGTGAGCTGTATTGGATTTCCGCCAGACATATAGTTTGGTGATGAGGCCAGATAATTCAATTTTAGTCTCATCTGCCTCAGAATCTTCAAGAAGCATTTTGGCAATGCTCAGTTGTGACTGCATGTGGCCTTTCTTGAAGAGTGGCTTTTTTCTTGCAACCCTCCCATACAAGCCACATTTCTATACCCACTGTATATATATAAAACATATATAAAAAAAGCTGAATTTTTGCAGCTATTACTCCAGTCTTCAGCGTCACATCCTTCAGAAATGATCCTAATATGCTGATTTGCTGCTAAAGAAACATTTCTCATTTCTATCAATGTTGAAAACAGTTGAGCTGCTTAATATTTGTGTGAAAACCTTGATATATTTCTTTGATTAAAGTATATAAAAAAAAAAAAAACACATTCTAGACTGATGTTAAAGGGTCAATTGGGTATACATTGATGGGTGTAATTGATGGTAGTGTCTCAGACTGTTATTCCCTAAAAGCTAAAAAAAAATTCCCACTTTTTTTCCCTGGCAAAATAAACCACAAAAAAATATGATTAAAACTAACATTAAGTGTTTTTAAAAATCGCTACATTCACCATGTACCTTTAAGATGAGCTTTCTTGGTATTTAACTACAACATAGGAGAGAACACATGTTTCAGTGACTTGGAATGTAGATTGCAAAATAATTCAGTATATACCGGTAGTCTTCAAGCAACTCACTTATCAAGCCAGTATTCTGAAACACCCACATTTTAAGCCACACTGGATGACAAAGCCCATTAAAATATAATTACATGCACAGCTCCATACACATACAGGTCTGCAGAAGGTTTATAAGAACAAGTATTTGTATTTATTGGTCTTCTGAACCGTGAGGGTAATGAGAACTTGTTCGCTCTCAGCGGCTAGCTGGCATGCCAAGAGAATATAGATGTGAAATAATTAAACGAAAGACCTGACTTTGCAGTTCACAGAGGATGCCAGTAATAAAATGTCATACTGCTCAGAGAAGAGACACACAAAACTTATATGAACATGAATATTGCCATATATAAAGCTATAAACTTATACAATTAAATCACAAATAGCCTTAACAGAAAGAAGAAAACTGAAAACATCTGGCTAGCAGGCAGTTATTCAATGTTTTACATGTTGTGCATTCAAGAACAAGACAATAATAATGTCAGCTATTCACAAATGTATGGGGAAAAACTGAGAGTAATGGTTCGGAAAATCATGCAAACGACGCTTTGGTATGATCACACACTACCATGAACAGGATCCTCATGTGTCCTTTTAGAAAATGTCAGTTTGAATATAATCTGCCATTATGTGCATCTGAAGTTGTTCTTGGTATTGTGAGTAACCCTTACCATCAAATAACGTCATCAAATCACTATACTCTCATGACTCACTATACTCCCTTGTCTAGAAATCATTTGTATCCGCAGCATGGTGGCAGCTTATATCCTTTTATTTTCCTGAGGGCTATGATTCAAACACTTGCCGAGGGATTATTGAGACTGCACTTATTTTCCGTCATTTCCTGATATGCACTAGGCATACTTGTCAGCTTTGTAGGAGGATGCAGAGACTAAAACCAGCTCCATTCTTGCCAGGAAGCCCACTCAGTTCACCCAACCTGTTGCACATCAACGGCCCAGTAGACAGGAATGAGATGAAAAATGTGCATGATTGAGAGAACGACACATCTTATAATCTGCGTTTATGTTAAGGTTCTTACTAAATTGTGTTGTGCTGCACTGTTTTGTGAGTCATTGTTATTTCTTATGGCACTCCTAAAAATTTTACAGTGAATTGTGTTATATTAAAGGGGTCATATGATGCGATTTCATTTTTTCCTTTCTTTTTGGAGTGTTACAAGCTCCTGTGATGGACTGATCCACTGTTGGTGCATAAAGATCTGTAAATTTGCAAAGACTAAAGTCTCAAATACAAAGAGATATTCTTTATAAAAGTTAAGAGTCAGCCACACCTACCTAAAAGGGCTCGTTCGAACACGCCCCCACATATCTACCTCACTATGTGGGAAGATTTGCATAACGCCACCCAAATGTTCACGCAAAGAAAGAAGGCGCAACTTTTATTCTCGCTGTAGTATTGTTGCCGCTGTTGCCATGTCCTGAAGATGCTGTGTGCTCTGTGTGAAAGCGAAACTACTTTGTTTGGTCTTCCAAAAGAGGACGATATCCGCTTTGTCATGCCTGGAGCTGATCCGTGCTGGTCGCTGAGGAAATACATCAACTTAGTGCTGTGGATCGCCGGATCGGCTTTCACCGTTTTCACCACTCCTTCGCCGGGACCGCCGTTCTCGACCCCGCCGCCTCAGCTCACTCTTGCCCGGCTTCAGCTCACGCTAAGCCGGGGGGCTTTCGCTCACGCTAGGCCGCTGTGTTTTTCGTTGTGAAAGCGGCCCCCCCCCCCCCCCCTCTCTATATATATTTATTTACAGATAATGAACATCATATTCTACACTCATATTATTTCATATTATAATAATTTATTGTATAATTATTATTTGTCAGATTAAGTTAATATTAAAAGAAACTGAAATGTGAACATAACATAATATAATATAATATAATATAATATAATATAATACAATACAATACATTTATATATATGGCAGTCACAGCCGTGGTAATTTAGGCCTAAGGTGGGAAAATACAATTTGATTTTCAAATCAATGCTGAGATTTTCAGGCACTGTTTCCTGAGAATAGGACTTCGAAAATGGCTTCCCATCACTTATTATTTTGAGATTCAATCTTGAACGTTAAATTCCGAAATCTAAATTAATTTTAAGGTTTTAACCTGATCAAGGCCTCCAACACCACACCATCTCCCGTAAGTATCGTGCCCTCTAATGAGACCTGTCCTGACAAGATGGAGGTCTGTTTTCTGTCACCATCATGTTTAAGACAATTAAAGGGAGGTCGTTTTAATAAACACTAGAAAATTTACACTGATGGATTCTCTTCCCCTTGGGCTGGAAGATTATCTAGAAAACAGGGAGCATGAGTCACACAGGACATGTTTCTTGGGACCCAATGAAGGTTCACATCTACAGATGCATGTGAGCTGTGGAGATAAGGGCTTCACTAAAGTCTAAATGGTTCCTGGGGAATAATTTCCTATATGGACCTGTGGCTCCTTCCCAAGAACAATGACATTTTTCAACATAATGCTTACTATACATCAAGTTCTTTAAATCATACATGGTGTAGCACAACTGCTTTCAGCTCAGGATGCATCTGTTGTTTTGGAACAGAGTGCTGGACTTTACTTACCAAGTGGACAGATACAAATGTAGTCATTGACCAGATCAATGCAGGTGCCCCCATTAAGGCAGGGTCTGGACCAGCACTCATTCATATTCTTGGAGCATGTTCGACCTGCATGATGGACATTAACACAGGCAAAATAGATAAGAGAATGCCTGTATCATATCATGTTAGACCTCTGTTATCATTTTTTGAAGTCAATATAAATAACCATTTGAAACATGTTTGTTTTCTGTAATGTAACATATTTCCAAGTAAAACAAGGTATTATATATTAGAAAGAAGCCTGGATAAATGAAAGTTTGCTTATAACCTTCATATAAATATAAAAAATTAAGGTAACACTTTCTACACATTCTATTAACAGTAAGTAACTTTGCACCTACATGTCAACTAGCAGTTAGTAGAGTATTAGTAGACTGTCTGCTTAATATCTTCTAACACTTTCTTTGTCAACTTATTCTAACCCTAAACCTACCCAGTCTACTCTGAGAGTTAGTAGACATGTAGTTGAAAATCAATGAGAATTAGTTGACATGTAGTTGACATGTAGTTACAAAGTTACTTATAGTTAATAGAATGCCTAAAGTGGACTATCAAAATAAAGTGTAACCAAAATTAATTATAAAGATTTTAATTTAAATATTTTCAAATAATGGATCACAATTAGACTAATTAGACACATTTCCTTTTTAATCATGAGTAATTCAACAATGTAAGATATTGAAAGTCAATGCCCATCAAAAGCCCAGAGATGGTTTCCTGCCTCAGTAGTACCACTGAGTAAAACATTTCGCTTACCCTTAAATCCTGGCGCACACAGGCATTGGTAACCTGCCACCAAATCAATGCAAGTGGCAACGTTGGTGCATGGTGCACTTTTGCATTCATCTGTCTCAAGCTCACAGAACGTTCCCTCATATCCCAGCATGCAGTGACAGGTGTAGTTGTGCTGTTGGTCCAGACAGAAGGCGTGTTCTGAACACTGATGCCCAGAGCAGAAGTCAATGTCAAGTTCGCAGTGGACTCCAGTATATCCGTGACCGCAAAGGCAACTTGGAATGCATAAAACAGTATCTCTTAATGGAATCGCAAACAAAACAGCCAGACATGGTATGAAAATAAATGGCTGAGTCATGGGGGAGGACTATGTAATTTGCTTTGCTTTCTATCACAGGAACATGCTATTTGTTTTAACAGCTATGGGTGGTTTAATTCTAGAATGAGACAGTAAACTGCAACTGAACTTGAACAGAATATCAATTTAAATTTTATACTGAGAGAAGCATCCTGTTTAAAATGGACAAATTCACCCCACTCACTCTTTTTTTGGAAAAAAACAAACAAAACAAAACACAATAGTACAACAACATGTTATTATTAAGGGGATAATTAAAATGTTCTTATCCCCCACACCCCATGTTATTCCAAAATCCCTATGCTTCTATTGTATCTATGAAACACAAAATATGTTTTTTTTTTTTAAATGATCTTTACACTGATTTTTCCCCCCCAGACATAGTGACCACAGGCTGTCAAACTCCAAAAAGGCACTATAAAAGAACGATAAAAGTTGTCGGCAAAAAAAAATAAAAAATTAAAACATAATTATAGAGATTATTACCTCCGCTGCAGATTGGAAATCAAATTTATGGCCTAGGGCAGAACTTTGCTGCAATGACATTTGGTTACAAGACACTGGAAAAATCAATGTTAGATTCTATTGACATTTAACCAGCAGCAGGTGCCATATTTATTTGAGAGCAGCAGCACAGGTGAGGGTTATCACCAAATAATGACTACATTTTGCCCTGTTCATAACACAAAGTTATCAGAAGCCTTGAAACATAGAGCATGAGTCATATGGACTACTTTTAGGATGTCCGTTTGTGTCCTTTTTAGAGCTTGACAGACCATGGTCACTACAAACTGTTGGTGTATGGGAAAAAATGAATCTGTTCAGGTTTTGTTCAGCAGAGAAACAATGCATACGAAATAGAATGACATGAGGGTAAATAATTACCGACATGAGTAAATAATTACAGAATTTTTTTTTATTTGTGTATTTATTTTATTTGCATTTGAGTTCATGCTAATCTTTATAATGACATTTTAAATGCATTTCACTTGATTACAATTATCTTTGTATGAAAATAAAAAAAACGGAATCACATTTGAATACACTTAATTTCTAAGCAAAGCATTTGCTGTACTCTAAATAAACCTTGCGTTAAGTAAAAAAACTAAACTTTCAGACTCACCTGTACCCACCAACCTCATCCATGCAGATGGCTCTGTTCTGACACCTGTGCTGGACACACTCATTTATGTTGACCAAGCAGGTCAGCCCAGTCCATCCAGGTGCACAAACACAACTGTAACTGGTGATGTTGTTAAGGACACAATGTCCTCCATTGGCACATGGCTGTCAAAATGAAAATCAACCATTATTCCTGAACAATCCTTCATTTAAATATGTGTGTAAAGGTAATTCTGGTCTTTTGTAAACAGAAAAACTTGTTCCCGGTGTTAAATAAAACATGCTGGATAATGAAGGAAAGGTAATGCATTTTAATTGCCATTTACATTAGTGGTGAAGGTGATTATCAACACAAGTAAAGCAAATCCAAATGATCAAACATGTTCAAAAGGGACATGCAATTTGCCATTGATGATATTGTTCAGTGACAAAGCATGGAAACAGTTTCACATCTTCAAAAGAATATAGCTTGCTAAGAGCATAACATTTTTAACCTGCTCTTTTCAAGTGGAACATGGAAGAGGGTGGTGTATGCATTTTGAATGAGTTCATGCATTGAAAAATATGCCTTATATGAATATGCCTTGTCGTTAGGCCTGTCGCATTAATCAATATATTGACTTATCGCGCAATATATGTATGTTACCTCAATAATTTTTGTGACGCAATATATAGCCCATTATATTTACTTAAAAATTAATGTTACTATGTTTTGTACATTCCACTTGCGCCGGTGTCTTTTGCAGCTTCTCGTACATAACGTGGTGTAGTCATGAGGTGCTAGTTCAAATTTAAAAAAATGCTTCTACAAAAAAAGTTTCATCTGCAGATATGGTCTTGTTTAGGGATCTGCGCCTTCGTGCATACGGACATCTGACTGCTAAGTAGTGATTGTGTTTTTCAGCAATAGTGTGCACCCTTAATTTACAGAGAAAAGAAGGTCAGGGAAAAATCTGTAGATGGAAAAATCTCCATACAAGTTCTTTGTGCATTTTTCTTTTTTTCTACTTGTTACTTTGCACTTTTTGTTAGAAAATGTTTATTTATTATTTATTCAGGTCTTTTAAGGTATCTAATATTTTGATACTTAATTTCCATGATCTAAATATTCTTAAAAATTTGTTGTCATTTGGAAGTGTGTAGGCCTTCTTGCGTTATTATGCCGTTAAATTATGATTATGTATTCAGTGGCATAAAATGGTGTTTAAAATGACAATAATATCGCTTATCGCAATTATTTCTGGGGCAATATATCGCACAACAAAAAGTTGTTATCGTGACAGGCCTACTTGTCGTTACTCTAAAGAACTGTTTATACTGACTCAAATGTATTTTTCTGTATTGTCACTGGTCTAATGTAAATTAATTTAGTTGACTGGAAGTAAAACGTCTCTAGGTTACGTATGTAACCATGGTTCCCCGAGGGAACGAGACGCTGCGTCGAGTCGCTTTGGGAACGCCCTTGCGTGACCGCGTTCTGAAGCACGTGTCAAATCCGTCCAATGGAGCAGCGAGACGTCACGAGCAGGGTGACGTCAGCACCAGAAAGCATAAAGGCACATCCGGCCGGGCGCAAACCAGCTTCGATGAAGTAGCGCCTGCAGGGATGCAGGGAGTATGGCAAAGAGACGCAGCGTCTCGTTCCCTCGGGGAACTATGGTTACATACGTAACCTAGAGACGTTCCCCTTCAGGAACTCGAGCTGCGTCGAGTCGCTTTGGGAACGAGAATACCAACTGCGCCATACTACCAAGTCCCTGCCTGTGTGTGTGTCCTATGAGCACATCACGAAGAGAGAACTTGGGAACCTGGGGTAGAAGCCAGGTCTAGGTTGTAAAAG